TGAAAATGTTGGTAAAAATTTTGTTTAATTAACTCTAATGTGTAAAACCAAAATGTATAAGTATTTTAACTGATAACATCTTCAACCTTTGCTCTAACACTACATTTGATGACAGCTTTATGGTTGGACTGTTGTTTTGAACAGAGTTACGGAGTCAATATACAGAAATACAGGACCAGAATTTAATTCAATATCTCCTGAGAATGTTTTCACTGTTTAAAATATTACAGAAGTCACAGAAGGATTGTTTTTAATACTGCATAAATCTTTTTGTGAATTATGTTGACAAATGGCTTAAAATATCCAATATTTTGTACAGTGTAATATATTAATAAAAAAATTCCAGAGTGCATTCCATGTAAACTCTACGCCGAAGATACGGCAATATTAACTATAGATAGTATAGTAAATATTTGTCAAACTGGCGAACTCATGTATTAATAAAATATGTGGGACATATATTTGCACAAATTTGGTATCTAAATATATAATATGTGGTATTTGACTACTTACCAGATGAGGATAAGATTCCATGTTGATAAATAACTTCGGAATAATATCGCAAGTAGAATGGCGAGAAAAAAAGACAGCCAATTCAGGGTGTTTCGAAAACGAAGACCTACGAAAACGAAGACCTAAGATGGATCTTCGTAATTATGAAAACGAAGACCCACTACGAAAACGAAGACCCATCTTTGTTTTCGTACTACGAAAACGAAGACCCTAAAATATTTATTTACATTGTTTTCGCGAAAATAAGCGTAAAAGTGTCGCGAAAAATTTCCGATAAATTGCTGGAAAAAATTAAGGAATAATAATTAACAATTAGACAACGAGGCCGAGTTGTCTATGAGCGAATAGTCAACGAGGTGAACGAGGCGAAGCCGAGCTGACTATTTGCTCAGTCATAGACAACGAGGCCGAGTTGTCTAATTGTTTTAGTATAAACTTTAACATTAATTTACAACTAGGCTGCAAACACAATACAAAACTACACAAAAAACATTATAAAACCATTAAAGGTAAACACATACTTTAGTTTTTGTTCGCGTAAAATGTTTTACAAAATTCAGTTTTAATTTTAAAATTTCATTGAGTGCATGTTATTTTGTCTTTTTCTAACCCTTAAAAATTACCATTCCATATTTTTGTTGCTTTTTTCGGGGGGTTTTTAGTACAGAATTGTTCAACAAGTCGTCCAAAAAATCATCAGACACATAGGCAAAAGTGCAAAACGCGAATTTTCCGCCATTTTGAATTTTCTATTAGTAGGCTATCACTAATAGCCTACTAGTAGCGTAGCCAATCAGAAGGCACGATATGTGATAGCCCACTAGTAGGTTTATACTAATATGTTATAGTATATGTCAATATGATCAAGGAAAATACGATTCAGCAATAAAAATAGAATCACTAGAAACCTAAACCAGTATTCAGTAAATCACTCATGTATTTTTAATATAGTCAAAGGCAAACATCAGACAAGTAAGAAATAACTAAATAATTTTAAAATGTAAAATGTTAACAACAGAATGTCAGAATTTAATACAATTGCAAAATTTACAATGTTAACAAATATTCGACATGTATTTATTTAATTGCTGTACTATTGTCAATGTCTGGGCAAATCAGTTAAGTTTGAATCAGTATCAGTAATACCACGGTCAAATTAGAACCACAGAGTACGTACATAGTACACACAGATGTCTCAGTGATTCAAGTTAATTTAGCATAAGGGATTTTTCCAGTATACGCCGTGTGCTAACGAGAGGTAGTCAACCCCCTGAAAACATATTGAAATTTAATCTTCCAGGGCCTCTTGCTAAGAACATGGCCACCAGCTATTTTGGTAAAAACTACCTTTTTTAATTATTACGGTTTTCCCTCAGAAGTGAGACCTCTGTATGTACTGTAAGTACTCTGTGATAAAACTGAGAGGTAATACGTAACTACCAAATATAAACATTAAGTTATATATTTGTTGAGGACGCCATATAAACTTTCAGACGGAGATTCCTTTAGATTAAATTGGGATTGAGTCAAAGCACATTTCTCTCTAGGATCGCCATTACAGAGTATCTTTTATTGAGTTCAATACATGGACATGACACGTGACATTAATTACATACATTTAGAATATATTAGTTTATAGTTTTACACTCCCACTTAAACTGATAATTCTAATTACAACAATAAAGTTTCTATGTTTACATGAATATGTGTTGTTGTTTTTGTTAAATTGTTCATTGTTCAATGCAACGCAACATAACTTAATTTTAAGATATTATGGGATATATTTTAAAAGGATATATATCTCTAATTGTTTAACTGAACAATTTATCAACCTACAAGATGTCCTATAAACTTACCTACTTTGAGCCTTGTGACTGGCTTGGTGAAGAGATCGGACAAGTTCTCTTCAGATGGTACGTACTTTACATCGACAGTTCTTGACTGGATTTCTGTCCTAATAAAGTGATATCTTATGTCTATGTGTTTGGACCTCTGGTTTTGCGCAGGGTTTTTGGCAAGGAAAATGGCACTTTGGTTATCACAATGGATTATGGTTGGTTCGAGAATAAAGATGCTAAGGAACTCCCCTAGTAATTGCCTAAGAAACTTAGCTTCCTGAACTGCAGCTGCTAGCGCCATATATTCAGCCTCACAGGTTGATAGCGCTACCGTTGGCTGTTTCCTACTTTTCCATGAGATGGCTGGTCCATCTTTTGATAGTTTAAAAACATAACCTGTAATACTTTTCCTGTCTTCCGATGATCCCCAATCAGCATCACAGTACCCGTGCATACTCAATCCCTCCTTAGACTTTTTAAAAGTGAGCTTATTATCTATAGTACCTTTTAGATAACGAAGCACATGCTTTGCCATACAAAGATGGACATTGGAAGGATTTGACATATGCTGAGATAACTTTGTCACAATAAAGGAAAGGTCGGGTCTAGTTGATGTCATCACATAAATAAGGCTCCCAACAATTTCCTGATACAACTTGAGATCAGCGGGTTCGTCTGAATTCCCAGCACTTGCCTTATTGACTCCAAGTTCGCTTGGAGTCACCCTTGGTTTGCATCCTTCCATTTTGAACCTAATTAAAATTCTCTCGATGTACCTAATCTGATCCATAGTTATAGTGTTGCCAGTAAAGGTAAAATTAATACCTAAGAACCATGAAAGTATTCCAAGATCTTTCATCTTAAACTTACAACTTAAATCATCTTTCACTTGTTTTAGTGAGGGTGTTGAATTGGATGCTATAATAATATCATCTACCCATATAAGCAAAATAGTTGTCTTGCCATTTTGTTTCTTAATATACACGCAAGGGTCAGAAACAAGTTGTGTAAAGCCTTTACTGGTCAAGAAAGTGTGCAACATATGGTTCCAGTTGCGCCCACTTTGTTTGAGACCATAAAGTGATTTGTTAAGTTTACATACTAACATTTCCCCAGACTCACTGTGTTTGACAAACCCTTCTGGCTGCTCAATATACAGTTCACAGTCGACTGGTGCATTGAGGTACGCCGTCTTGACGTCCATTTGATGCACTTCCATGTCAAGGTCTAGGGCCAACTGCATCAACATACGGATTGATGTTATCTTTGCTGTTGGTGAAAATGTTTCAAAATAATCAACTTCAGGTACTTGTGAATACCCTTTTGCAACGTAGCGTGCCTTATAACTCTTTTCACCATTTTTACCTTCCTTAACTGTATACACCCAACGTGCTCCCACTATGCTCTTACCTTCAGGTAGTTTTGTGAGTGTATAAGTATTGTTTTCACTTAAGGATGATATCTCTTCATTCATGGCCTCACACCATTTTTCAGAATCTTTTGATTTAATGGCTTCTTTATATGATTTTGGATAAACAGATGTAGCACAACAGTAGTCTACATTATAGTTTATCACATCATCGTCATCTAGATCATTTTCTACAATGTAGTCATTTAAATGGGGTGGCCTTCTAGTGTTCCTTACAGGGTATCTTGGTTGTGGAGCAGGCTCATGATTTTCAGCTTCAA